ATGCTACCACCATTTAATTGAATCTCCATAATATGAGCCTTTTTTTGCCTTCTATTCATTAACTTCATCTGAGTGTGTGCAAGCACTCTAACAACAGTGCAGTACTTCTTAATTTTGTTGAAATCCTTATCAATTTCCTTTTTCCCTGTTTCATCAGCCCACTTTTGTGAAGCTTTAGTAAAAGCCTTCTTCTTTGATCTGTACCAATTTTTATAAAATCTTCTTTTGCATTCATCACCAAGATGTTCAGCCCAAACTGTTTTAAAAGTTCGCAATCCTTTCGGGGTTTCTATATATCCAACAATACCAACAACAATCATTGGCGGAGTTTCTAAAATTGTTACTGCCTCTACAACTTCTTTTTTGTGGACCTTTGATCCAGGTCTGTCAACTTCCCGCACGACGTGGGTCATCCCGGCCTTGTATCCCAAAAACGCTGTTAAATGTACTGGTTTAGACTTGTCGTCTTTAGGAAAAGCCTTAACCTTTCCACGATGACGTCTACTACGCTTTTTGGGCAAAAATCCAAGAGAACCATGTCTCGGTGCTGAAAACTTTCTATGTGACATCTTCGATAAATCTAACGATAAAAGGATACATACATACATGGCGGCGAGACCGGTTGTAATTAGCGAAGTTCTATATTTTTTGGTTGGTAACTTCGACTTATTTGATAATGAGACGTTTATAAATAATACTGCTGAATTTTTCTCCAACGAGGACTTTATTGACGCTCAAAAAATTTTGAAATTAGAGTTGGAAAATGTTAAAATTGAAAAGTTTGAAAAACCTACTTCACGTGGCAACACAAGGCGCGATAAACTGTTAGTATTAACACAAATTCTTATTTTTTTGAAAGAGGAAAAACTTATGGATAAGTGCTCAATGTTTGCCAGCGTTAATTTATCTAATGTTCCTAACTTCGAAAATGTCATCAAAATAAACTTTGAAATTCTGAAAAATGAATTAAAAAATATGTTGTACACTCAACATAACAAACTCATACAAACACTTGACGTGCACACGCAAGATATAACTTCTTTGAAAAATAAATTAGTGCAAACAATAGACGTGCATACACATGATATGTCGGCGCTTAACAACAAAATAAACTGTTGTTTGTCGTACAATAAAGACAAAAATACCTCGAAACTGAACATAAACTCAGTTCCGTCAGCAGTTAACTCCGATATGAACAAGCAAGCTGTTACCTCCAAACCAGCCATGTTTTGGTCCGACGAAATTACGACACCGACTGATGACAACCCTCTGCCATACAGCGTGGTCGTTCGAAACAAAAAAAGTGCTCGCACAAACAACTCTCCGGTTGCCAACCAAGTCAACCCTAACGATCAATCATCGCTTAAAGGAAATCCACCAAATCAACCTAATAAAATAATTGGTCTAAAAAAATGCGCCATCGACAAACTTTGTGCCGAGAAAATCATAGTAAAAAAATCGGTATTCGCAATGAGTAACGTTAAAAAATGCAGCAGAAGTAAAGTTGTCGAATATTTGTCTGATATTGGTATTAATGTATTATCGTGCTTTCCAGTCAGCAAACTTTCAACAGTTCCTCCAGGTACAACGCTAAACAACGACGACATCGAATCAACAATGTTTCGAGTATGCGTCAACACTGCTGATGCTACTAAAATGCAAGACCCTGATAACATGCCCGAAGGTGTCATCATTCGTGAATGGCATTTCACCTCCAAAAAATCGGAAGAAACCTCATCGATCAACAATGGCTGAATCTTCTTCAAATCAATCGTCAACTAATCCAAATTATGACAATTCGTGTTCATTAATTCCTGTTATTGATCATAGTACATTTCACTCAAACATTGACCCTGACTTTAACATACTGGATTCTTTCACTTTCTCTTCTCCTTACTATTCAATTGATAATCTTTTGAATATGTTAAATAATAATGATTTAAAACCTAATAACCTCTTGTCAATCCTACATATAAATAGTCGTAGTTTATTAAACAAAGTAAACGATTTATTATTGTTAAACAATGTTATAAGTAATTATTTCAATGTAATTGTTATTTCTGAGACATGGTTAAACGACGAATCGGTTAATTTAATCAATTTACCAGATTATAATTTTTTATTCAAAAACAGATCTAATAAAAAGGGTGGTGGTGTCGGGATATTTCTTAAATTGGGACTAGATTATACACTTTTCGACAATGCCCTATCAACGGACGACGTCGCCGATTGTCTATGTATTGAAATTAAATTTCACAAATCCAACGTCATCGTATTTGCTATCTATAGACCACCAAACTCTGACCCCTCCAATTTAATTCAAAAACTTGACCTCGCTTTATCTAGTCTTAAAACCAATTCTAAAGTTTACCTTGTCGGCGATTTCAACTTAGATCTCTCAAAGGCCTGCTCTGATAAACTCGTTGCTTCCTTTTCCGATTTACTGGCTTCCTTCAACTTTGTTCCTCTTATATCTCAGCCTACCAGAGTGACTCATTCTTCCTCTTCTATAATAGACAATATCTTCACAAGCAATCCATCTCATCACATTTCTGGTATTCTTTTACATGACTTTTCCGACCATTTTCCTATTTTCGCTTTATGTCCAAATCATTGTTTCCCCATTCCAACAGCTCCAATTAAACTTCGTAGAAATCTCTGTCCTGATTCTCTTAGGAAAATCAACCTCCAACTTTCTGTCCAAGACTGGTCATCTGTCACTACTCAAGATAATATTAATACATGCTGCTCTACGTTTTATGCCATTCTTTTCTATATTCTGGACTCCGTTTCCCCTCTGCTTCCAGTCAATTATATTTATAAAAAAACGTGGGTCAACAAACACATCATCCATTTATCCAAAATTAAACATAAACTCTACATCAAAAGCCTTAAAATTCCGTCGCAGTGCAACATTTCTGCTTATAAAAGGTATCGTAATTTCTTCACCCGGATTAAAAGAAAGACTGAGCGTGATTTCTACATTCACCGCTTCGATAAAATTCATGATTCTAAATCACAGTGGAACTTGATCAAAGAAGCTTTAAATACTAGATATTCTTCTCCACAAATATCAAAACTCATCATCAACAATAATAAGGTACAAAACAAACTTGAAATATGTAAACACTTTAACGAACACTTCATAAACATCAGCAACGAACTTCTCTCTAACCTACCTTCAGTTGATACAGATCCTTTGTCCCACATGTCACCGCCTAATTCTCACTCTATTTGCTTCCATCCGATTACTCGCTCCGAGCTGCTAACATTAGCTGGCAAGTTGAAAAACAAGAAATCTTATTCAGATGATGGATTAAATATGTTTCTTGTAAAAAACATAATATCCAATATAACAGTACCCCTTCTACATATTTTCAACTTATCTCTTAGTTCAGGAATTTTTCCGGACTGCTTTAAAACCTCGAAAGTTATTCCCATATTTAAAAAAGGAGATAATGCCGACATTAATAACTACAGGCCGATTTCTCTACTGTCTCCGTTGTCAAAATTACTAGAAAAAGCAGTTTATGTCAGACTATTTTCTTTCTTTGAAGTACATAAAATTATTTGCAACAACCAATATGGTTTTCGCCCTAGCCACTCAACGGAACTTGCTCTACTCGATTATGTCCATCACATCCTCTCCAAACTCAATGACAAAAAACTCTCAGTTGGTTTGTTTTTAGACCTTTCGAAAGCATTTGACGTTATTAATCACAGCATCTTACTTGATAAATTAAGTTGTTATGGTATTCGAGGAGAAGCTCTCGGGTGGATTCAAAGTTATCTCTCACATCGGAATCAATACGTCACTATTGACAATTACCAATCTTCAAAGGCCTTAACTTCCAT